CAAGCTCCTTGAGGGCAGGGACTGATGTGAATGTGCACAAGTACCGTGTTTCCCCGAAAATAAGACACTGTCTTATATTTTTTTTGGTTTAAAAAAAAAGCACACTAGGTCTTATTTTCGGGGTAGGTCTTACCATACCATAATACCGGTAGAAGACTTAGAAGACAGGAGTGAGTGGCAAATTTAGGAATAGGGTGATCAGGGCAATCATGGGTGCCGTACCTTTCCAAAAGCAATTTGGTAACCAATCGCTGGCCAGAATGAGCAAAGTGCGCTTTCACTATGGATTCCTCACAGGCGGAGTGCATTTGGTATCACTCTGTCTGTGAAAGGAGCCGGCGCTATAGAGGAAGCATCGGCTTCTGAGGCTCTGCTCCCTTCACTGCCGCCTAGTTTCCTCTAGCGCTGGCTTCGTTGGTACCGCTGATTCTCTCCCCCGGCTCTTCAAGTTCCCCCTTATGCCACCACCAGTCCTGGGAATGGTCCCAACTAGGTCTTACTTTCGGGGTAGGTCTTATATTTTATCAATTCACAAAAATAGTGCTAGGTCTTATTTTCAGGGTAGGTCTTATTTTCGGGGAAACAGGGTAGAAACGGGCCATCGGCACTCCAAATGCGTCTATTTATTGACATAGATGTAGTATATCACACATTTAAGGTCTGCTAAGGTACACTATATTACATTTTTGTTCTTTGGTTTAGTTATAATTTAACACCTTTTATCTCAAAAGTTTTCCTTAAAATCTGTGCTAACACAAAGCATATCTAAACCCAATAACAGTTCATCAGTTGTTCAATGTGGTGGCTGCAATACATTTATGTGATCCTGCCATTAACACACTGCTTAGGGTGACAATGCTCAATCACTGCAATGGATCTATGGGGAGGAGCAACTTTGCCACAGTAGGCGGCTATCTGGATTTAGATTACAAACACTTCCTTCTCCTCCTCTCTATTACATAGAGGGTAGTTTCTATAGTTCACAACAAAAGATAGCTGGGAAAGCTGATAACAGTTTAAGATGTCACTTCAGTAGATGGAAAGTTAGAAGCACACGATTACTTACTAGATCAAAAGGGTATTTTTCTGTGCCATCATAAAATGTACTTGGACTGACTAAAAGAACACCAAGGACTTGTGCGATGTTCTCTTCAAAGTCTGAGAATCCCAAACCCGCCTGCAGTAAGTCAAATCCCAAACCATCTCAGGAGTGTCTCAAACTGATACCACAATAACAAGCCCATCGACAAAAGGTCCTAATGCAGACGCCACATCTAAGGACTTGTAGGCTGCATTTCATTTCTGCTCTTGGGTTTAGATATGCAGTAAATTGACTCCCTACTAAGCAGCACACTGCCACTCTGTTAAGCCAATGGAACTGAGAAAAAGACAGCACTGGTGCTCCATACAGGGGCAGAGCTAGAGGCTTCAGAACAGCCCCTGGAAAAAAGCTCCTAAAGAGATTAAATAGCCATAAAAGAGACACTGTAGCTTTGCTCATACCAAAAAGTTTTAGTGAAAAATATGTTCATCCTCTGCAGATTCCCCTGCTACCTCATTCACCTGTTGCAGGCTCCATTGACTGGGTCAGGGCCATAGACCCTTGCCCAACCCCAGTGTGGCAGCAATTCACCTGGCAACTTGATACTCAGTATTATGAAAGGCAGGGGATAGTCACATGCTTCCCCATACCCAAAAGTCAGGTTTCTCTCAGGCCTCTAGAGGACAGCAGGGACATTTTCAGACTACTTTAGTAGCCCCAAACCATTTTAGGATTCCCAAAACCACCAACTGGATCAATGAAGGATACCAACACTAAATGTTAAGACCATGACAGAACAAAACTATTGATGGTAGATGGTCTTGACCCATTTGGTTTTATTGATTGAAAGCCAAAAAGTGCCGTGTGTGTATATTATTAAGGTTTACTCAAATATGAAATGTTTTAGTCTTCCATGTCCCCAAATAAGTAAATCCCATATGCACAGTCTGTAACAATTAAATCACAGGATATTTGAAAGAAAGTTTATTAACTGAATAAGTTACTTGGGAGGAGAAAAATAAATTTAAGATCAATTGGCATGATTGAACACATTACAAAAGGGAAGAAAGGCAAATAAAAACCCATAGCAAACGTTATAAGCTGTTACATGTATGGCAGTGATATCAGAAGTCAGATCCACTATATGACCATAAAATAACTAACCAATGTCATGCTCCTGGTATATATAGAAGTCATTGCATCACATAGTGCTAAAGATGATAGAGAACATCTCTGTAGAATACAGCAACAAGCCTTTCAGTTAGACCTGACAGCTGAAATGTGACGTCAAGCATAAGAAAAACTTGACAAATAAAATTAAGGAGTACATTTTGAAAAGAAATTATGAAAGGACATAACATTTATACTTCAAAACAAGTTCTAGAATGGATTTCCAGGCAGTGAATGCAATAAATAGCACCAGTATCTGTCTAATCAACAGTCAAACAGTTCTTGTGCCAACAGTTGAAAGCCGACACATGGGTTTGTTAAAGGCACACATGTATCAGTCATAGGTGGCACACGATGTCACAACATCCTTCAGCAGTACCTGTTCTAACATGAGCGCCAGTCACATTTAAGCCAGAAAAAAAGACTAGTAATAAATATCCTTCCTAGAAAGATTTATACAAAATGTAACAATATATTGATCCAATGGCATTATCTACACTTCCCACAAAAATTAGGTGTCCAATGCCGTGTTCCACCAAAAGCGGCCTTTTCTTACATCTGAAATTCAGACTTTATTAGATATCTAAAAAAAAAAAAATCCATAGCTCTAATTTGTTCATTAGGCTTGGTATATACAAGCACGCACATGTATGTAACAAAAAAAAACAAGTTAAAGAGATCTTGCCTTTAAAATGCAACCCCTTATCTTGCTAGCCCCAAAAAACACATTAAGGGGCACATTGATAAAGCAGTGGAGTGGCATTCACTATAGAATTCACATTTGAAGTCACATTCACTACTTCTAAATATGCTCCCAAGTCAAAGCATGCCTAGCTTCCTCCTGTGGGAATCTGTGACATCTCTAGACTGTACCACAGAATCCTGGGAAAGCTCAGAACTTCCAGCATTGTGCCCAAGTGCATGCTTACCAGATTTGAGTTTCCCAGCTTACCCAAGATCCCACGAGAAGGTCATGTCACCCTGGTCTAAACATGTGTGCTGGTAGCCAAAGTACTAGGTATTTTCTACATTTCGCAGCAATTGTACATGATTTGGTGGAGGGGGGTCTGCAAAATAACCAGGTTTGTATTTTTAGGCAAGGTCTACGTTAACAATCTTGCAGTTCCCTTGACCCAATTAAAAAATAGTTTGCATAAACCGGCATCTTGGCCTGTCACAGTTCTTTAACCATCAAGACACTCTCAAAAGACTTGGCAAACGGCACCAAAGAATAGAAATGTAAAGTAGAAAAGTGAAGTGATCACCAGTACAAAGAAGTCTTTGGATAGGGGTTAGAGTGGAGCTCCAGATTGAGGTAGTTGCTGGTGATGACACACAGGTCACATCATTTTTTTTTTAGAGAGAATTGTCTTATTTGCATACATGTAAACCCGTCACAAGCCTTGCATGGGCCACTCATGGGAGCTACCATGCCTCAGTCACACTTCACCCACTGAACTTTGGGTGAAGAAGGTGATCCCATAGATGACCACCCCAACTGCCCTTAGTGAATCCATACATCCAGCTCTCCTGGAGTCTACAAAGCCCCAGTCACATTTCACCATCCTGGCCTTGGATGATGGAGCTGATCCCACGCGTGCAGCTTTCCTGGAATCTATGTTACCTCATTTACCCCGACCTTGGAGCCAATTCCACACATGCAGGTCTTCTTGAATCTCCCATCCATGAATCCCTGATTCCACACATCCATCTGTCCGAGAAGCTATCATTCCCTCAGTCACACTTCATCCCATGGCCTTGGATGATGGAGCTGATCCCACAAATCTATCTCCCCAGAAAGCTATCACCCCTCGGTCACACTTCACCCCATACATCCATCTCTTCTGGAAGTGATCATCCCTCAGGTCACACTTCATCCCATGGCCTTGGATGATGGAGCTGATCCCACAAATCTATCTCCCCAGAAAGCTATCACCCCTCGGTCACACTTCACCCCATACATCCATCTCTTCTGGAAGTGATCATCCCTCAGTCACACTTCATTCCATGGCCTTGGATGATGGAGCTGATTCCACAAATCTCCCCAGGAAGCAATCATTCCTCAGTAACACACTTCACCCCATGGCCTTGAATGATGGAGCCGATTACACACATCAATCTGTCTGAGACACTATCATCCCTCAGTCACACTTCACCCCACGGCCTTGGATGATGGAGCTGATCCAACAAATATATCTCCTCAGGAAGCTATCATCTCTCAGTCACACTTCACCCCATGGCCTTGAATAATGGAGCAGATTCCACCCATCCATCTCCCTAGGAAGCTATCATCCCTCAGACACACTTCACCCCATGGCCTTAAATAATGGAGCTGATTCCACCCATCTCCCCAGGAAACTATCATCCCTCAGTCACACTTCACCCCATGGCCTTGGATGATGGAGCTGATCCAACAAATATATCTCCTCAGGAAGCTATCATCTCTCAGTCACACTTCACCCCATGGCCTTGAATAATGGAGCCGATCCCACTCATCCCCTAGGAAGCTATCATCCCTCAGACACACTTCACCCCATGGCCTTAAATAATGGAGCCGAGTTCACCCATCCATCTCCCCAGGAAACTATCATCCCTCAGTCACACTTCACCCCATGGCCTTGGATGATGGAACCAATTCCACACATCCATCTCTTCTGGAAGCCATCATCCCTCAGTCACACTTCACCCCATGGCCAGCAAGCTGAGCCCCCCCATACATGCAGCATCCAGGACCTCACACGACTTCTGTCCCATATTGCAACTAGTCCTCTGTCCCTTCTTCTAGCAGTAGATGTGTCCAGTAAAGTGCAGTAAGAAGACCTGGAATCCTCCAGACGTGTAAACAGGCTGACTTGTCTCTGGAAAGTGTCAGGAAGAGGAGATGAGGGGGAAGCGGCGGATCCTGACTACAGGCTGCAGGTTCACCTGTAGGATCCTCTGAGCCCTCTGCCGGGCGGCCGCCACCTTGGCCTCGCACGACACGTCCCGGACTAGTATGGTGGGGTAGCTGCTGAGTCTCTGGGCTGCCGCCTTCCACATGTCCTCCAGCGACGTGCTGAGGGAGCCGGACGCCTCGGACGGGGTCGGGCTGCTGCAGCCGCTGGCTCCGCTCTCCTCACTGGCAGCGGGCTTCACACGCCGTCGCTTTCTGCAGCTGAGCCTCATGCCTTTCCTTTTCCTCTTCACCGGCGGCTTCTTGGGCTGCTGCAAGGGGGCCGGAGCCGGCTCTTTGGCTTTCTTGCGGGAGAACTGGCTGGGGTCCGGGACCACCGAGCGGCACGACGAGTAGCCGTAAACGTCTTTGCTGCGGAGAATCACCGGCGAGAAGTCCCGCTTGAGGCTGCACAGGAAGTTCCACAGCTCCGTGTCCGAGTTCATGAAGTGCTTCGACTCCGGCACGAAGATCTCCAGCGCGTCCTCCAGCGGCTTGATACCTGCGAACACCAGCTGCGACCGGGAGTACACAACTTTCTCGTCCTCCATCCCTCCCGCCGCCTTTGTCTCTGCTCGGGTGGCTAAAGAGTTAAAAGGGTGCCGAGGAGGGAAGAAGAAAAAAAAAACTTCGCAGCCGCTGAAGCGCCCCCCTTCTGGCCGTCTGATTTAACGCAGGAGCCACTGTCACAATGTGCAAACAAAATGGCCTCTTTTAACGGCCCCTACTGTTGGCTATATAGCTGATTCTTTGAAAAACGACGTACCCCACACCCGCCCACTGTTGGAAATCCGGAGCCGCTATTGGCACACTAGCGCACATCCGCCCCGCCATTGGTCGGCGGCGAGACAAGGGGCTGGGCTAGCACGGGCGTGGAGGGGGTACGTTGGGTGGAGCGATACATGGCGAATGTGAAGAGTCTCACTAATGTCGGCCATGTTACTTGAGTGACTGGGGAATAGCTTACTTTGTTTAATGATGATACTTTGCTGCTCGGAGTGAATGTAGACTGAGAAGACATTTGTGTTCTCAAGTAGTTTCATAAAGACACAGACGAACATAGCAGCTTGTACATAAGTTTCTGCAATAGACTCAGCCAAAGCCTTGTAGGACTTTCAGTAGTCATGGCTATGATAGTAATTCACCCCTAAATCATTCACTGAGGGGATTACTGAGGGAGTTCATGGTTTTCACTTAAAAGTGAACCTGAGTTCATATTGAACCCCAGTCATGTGAACAAAAGTTACAAACAGGAATTTCCTATGGATATGATTTATGTCAACAATGCTTCAGCCCCCATTCACACCTGAGCAGTTTGAAGCGTGTTAAGGCTTAACACTCAGCTTTCCATGTTACTCTATGAAGCCGGTTCAGATGTGGGATGTGCTGTCACTCAACGCACAGAAAACGTACAGCAGCTTTTTTGGGTGCATGAATGCTTTTTACCCCAATAGACGTCAGTGGGAGCCTCTAACAAAATGCATGTTCTCTAGGTGCCCTGTTCACATCATACATGTGCGGTGGTGTCTGCAATTTTTCGCAGCTCAATGCAAGTCATTGCATGACAATATGTCGCGGTGTGCTGCAATGCATACATTTGAATTAAGTGGGATATTTACTTTCAATAAAGTTAAAAGTAAACCATGCAAGTTATTGTAACAGCACATCACACTGTCCTTTACGTTGCACACCAATATGCATGCGTTGTATGGAGCAGGACTGGTGTGAACATGCAATCTCAAGTTGCTCGTCTTAGAGTTTTTTAGCTTCTAGGGACGCTTCTGATTGTGGGTCAGATTGATCTTTGTTGTTGACCTAGTTTGCCCTGACGTACCCATCTGCACTGACCTTTTGTTTGCCCTTGTCCAGGTTTTACTGTTCAGTTCTAGTTACCCCAATGTAAGAACTATAACTACAATTCCTAAATACAGTCTTATTTTACTTTGTAGGACCATGTCCTCCAAGATGGATTTGATCCTTAGCCAAACCTTGATCTTGAATTAACATAATAACTGATACCTCACATATCAACCTAATAACTGATACCTCATATACCAACCTAATAACTGATACCTCACATATAAACCTAATAACTGATACCTCATATACCAACCTAATAACTGGTCCCTCACATATCAACCTTATAACTTGTACCTCACATATCAACCGTATAACTTGTACCTCACATACCGTATCAACCTAATAACTGGTCCCTCACATATCAACCTAATAACTGGTCCCTCACATATCAACCTAATAACAGGTACATCACATACCAACCTAATAACTGGTCCCTCACATATCAACCTTATAAATTTCTCTGCCCTCACCCCAGAGTCAGCGCTGCATTAGAGGACATTCCTCCCAATTTTTTCACATATCAACCTTATAACTTGTACCTCACATATTAACCTAATAACTTGTACCTCACATATCAACCTAATAACTGGTACCTCACATACCAACCTAATAACTAGTACCTCACCTCTTGCTGAATAGTTGCCAGATACCACCAAGAATGACATTCTAGAATCACTTTCTGTGAGTTCTGAACCCACCACCAAGGATGTGGAGGAAGTATGAGTACTTCCAGAGTACACACCTTGTTGAGAGCTGGTGGAGATCTTTGCACCAATGAATCATTCATTTTTGTGTCAAGGTTTTCAAGCCTTACACGGAACTGTTATGCTAACACTAAGAACTGTGCAAGTCTCCTTGAATGCTTAAAACCCAACTCTGCATATTTTTAAAATACTTTCCAGACAGAGGTTTAAATTAAGAAAGCAGCTCAGGCTGCAATACTCACCTCCCCCAGCAATGTCCACCACAGTAATTGCTTTCTGCTACTAGATGTCTTCAGTCATTCACACAGAAGACTGAGGACATACTGTGAGTGCCGGCATCCCAAACCCACCCTATTGGCCCCACAGCGATCTGCACTCACTGTGTAATGATACAGAGAAGCAGTGCCCATTCAGAAGAGCTGAGGGGAAAGCGGATCTAGCTATAGACACCCGAAAAAGGTAAGTATAAAAAAAGCAAAAAATACAGCAGGTGACCTTTGAGAGGGCAGAGAAGGGGGTAGCCCTCTTTTTGAACATGAACTCAAAAAGTGAAGATTTGCTATGTTATAGGGAACATGCAGAAATATTAATTGTGCCCAAGCAGTACCCTGAATGGTCTACCTTTTGTCTTAAATTCTTCATGAAAAATACCAGTGCACTTCCTGGCATGTGAGTGTGCCTAGGCACTCTTGTGCCCACAGTATCTTAACAGTAAGGCCTGGAGCTATGGATTGCAGAGGAATGAGCAAATGGCCTGCATGACAAGGATGGGAAGGGGAACAAAGGTAGGAAAGGGTGAAAGAGAAAAGGTAAAAAGGTTACAGAAGGGTCACTTACGGGATTGGTGGTCTTCCAGGAGGGGCTTCATGAAGGTAGTCAGGAAGGAAGAGTCCAGAAGTTTAGTTGGAGTCCGGCAGAAGAACTTCCCACCCACCCTGAGAGGAGGTTCTGTGTCTTTGCATGTTTTGTCACAGCTGTGCCTTGGCGGGTTGGATCCTTGAAGGCAGTTGTCTGTGGTTGCGTAACTTGACCGGGGACCCATCTGTGGTATGGGTGTCCTGCGGTAGTCGTAAGGTAATAAGGACCAATGTGGTTCTGCGGGCAAGAAAGGTGCCCGCAGATACTGGTCTGTTTAGAGTCATAGTGCCTTCAAGGACCTTGAAACCAAACAAGTTTATACAGTATGGTTATTGGTTTGTTGTTGTTATTTATAATGTTATTTATAAAGGTTTGTAATAAAAGGCTGCTGTGGCCCTTTAAACTCCAGCTGTTGTGTGGTGTATTGATTGGTTAACATAGGAAGGGGTTTTGAAGTTAAAGAAGGTATTGGTAAAAGGGACCTCTGAGCTACCTTACTCATGTATATACATGTATATATGCAGAGTGATCGGCATTGTTGCCTGTGACTGCTAATCTCCTGAGATTTGGTGATGTCACTACTGTTCTGCTTGCAGGAGAGGAATTTGTACTGCATGTATCTCCCTGCTGCTGATTCATTCATTCATTCTGTAGGGGGAATATACCATGACCTGGATGAATGAGAACCTTCACAGACAAACTTACCTGCTTGTTCACAATATTCTTTAGAATGTACACTGAGCTGCACACAACATAGTGTCCATTCTTGGAACATTGTGATGCCTTAGTGATTAAACTCCTGTGTGGGAGATACATCTTTCTGGCCTGGCCAATCACGATGGCTGAAGATCCCAAACCTGGACAAAGACTGGGAGAAGATGCTTGCAAGGGAATGAGGGGAGCTTAATATAGCTCAGTTTAAAGTGTACCTAAACCCATAATGTTTTATGTTAGTGTGGGGTAGAATGTAAAGAAAGGATTAGGACCTGTGTGAGGTTTTATTTGCTGTCTGTGTCCCTATTAGGTAGATTCTCCTTGTCCTGGTGAGCATTATCAGTAAGACTGAAATTGAAGGAAAATAAAGAAAAGTGAGTTGGAACCAAAACAGAAATAGAGTATCTTGCTATGGGGGCATATGGTTTGGTGACAACTGTCTGAGAGGGGATCTCCCTCACTTTGGAGAGTTTTTTTTTCTCACTTTCTGTTGTGTCTACAGAACAGGAAGCAAACGGAATGAAGATGAAGAAAAAAAAAAACATTGACAGGTGTTTTAATCATTCAGGTTATATCCAAACAGCTTTCAATATATTTTAAAACTGGTGAGAAAAAAGTTCACACGACCATTCATGCTTCTTTTTCATCCTGCCCTCACTGGTGGGAGGAGTCAGGTGAAGCCTGACTCCAACAGTGGTTCAACATGACCAATACGGTATTATACAATCAGTGCTCTGGCCATATATGCAAGCAGGAGACCCGAGAGATGCAAATGCTCCTCCTGCAGATATCATCCTTAGCCTAATCTCTCCCTGACTTTGCTGAACATTGCCTTACTTCCTTTCTTCCCCCTTTTTTTTGTTACCTTGTGTTGCGGCCAGTAACACACTTCCTGTCTTAGGGGGTGGGGTCTCCACTCTATGGAGGAGCAACATAGCAACCCCTGGGCAGCAGCATTGTCAGTTACAGCAACAGGCTTTACATACATAAATAAATAAATAAATAAAGCTGACCATTATAAAGCACCCCTGTCAATGGTAAATGGTTTGGCTCAACCCTCTAACTGCCACTGGAACTGAAAGTTACAAAATAACAGACTTACTGGCTGGATCACCAGGTGAAAATAAAGGGAAACAAAACTGGAAAAAAAATAGAAATAAATCCTACAGCCAGGCAGAAGCGCAGGCAGCAGTAAACATTAAAGCCCCGTTCACATTGAACGATTTATCGCGCGGTAATTCCCGCGATATCGCGGCAAATTACCGCGCGATATCGCGCTCCAATGCATTTCAATGGGGCAAAGGGCCCTGCTGTCGCGGGTCGTGTGTCGCTACAGCAGGACCCTTTTTGGAGCGGATTTAGCCGCGATTGCTCAATGCAAGCTTGAACGCGATATCGCGCGACAAATCTCGCGATGTCGCGCAATATGCAAATCGGGCGACAAACGCGCAATTTGCATATCGCGCAGTGGGAACGGGGCCTTAGTGTAGAATCCTACACTGCCTGCTCTTCACCACATCATTTAGTTTTTTTTAGACTAGTTGGTGTGGTATGTAAAGCGAACCCTTATTCCCTTTCACTAAAAATCACCTCAGCGTGCAGCTCTGCACGCTGATATGAAATCATCTT